GTCCCCGTCCTTTACTCCCAGCCCAGTATATTAATAGAGAATATTTAAACTTCTAGTTGATCTAATTAACGTATAGTTAAAACAAAGTGCCGAGTACACTTAAACACTAAATTTACACTTGCGTGAAATCGGTACTTTATTATAAACTATCCGGCAACGTCAGCGATAACAACCTTTAAATTTAAGTTTTAAAATAACCAAATTTACAATTACTTACCCGAGATTAACTTCCTGCTGAACCATGTTTAGCTAAACTAAAGCGAAGTTGCTCTAGGGAGGCCAAAAAACCACAAAAACCCTCTCAAAGCAGGCTACTGCCGGAGCGGGAAAAAAAGTGAAAAATGTCCTCCCGGCCCCGACCAGTGACCGAGCAAAGCTCCGGAGCAACTGACCTTTTAGAGTTAATGTTACCGATGTACAATAATATTACCCGCGGGTGTTTGATGCGAAGGACGCAAACAGAAACGCCACTCGCGCCCGCAGCTGTCGGTAACACTCACAAGGACAGACAAGTACACACGTAAAAATCAGAGTAAAAAATGAAAACAACAACAACCAACAACAACCACCCACGTAACCGTGCTGGCACACAAACGCTCAAATATACTTCACAGATAATTCAAATCAAATCAACCCTGTATACAGTGGTACCTCAGAACTGGAAATGAATCCATTCAGAACTCCAGATCGAATCCTAAAAAGTTCGAGTTCTGATCGAATTTTCCCCATAAGAAATAATGGAAAACCAATTAATTGGTAACTAGAATTACACCAAAATATGTTTTTTTTTAGCATTTAAACACAAAATGAACCGGACAAAACAAGAAAAGCATATACTGTACTAAACACATATAAGCAAATTTATCAAATCAGTAATTTTTAAAGTACGAAAATAAATGTATCCAAACAATGTGTAAAATTAAAAAAAACTGTGTCATGCCCCGATCGTCCGCTCCTTCCGTGTGCCACACCCCCTCGTTAACTCCGTGTGGAATCCCTGTGTGATCAGCTGTTTCTGGTTGTTGTCATTAGTCCTCTGTATTTAGTCCACGTTTCAGTTGGTTTCCCCAGTCCGGTCATTGTATTGTCCGTCTGCGTTTTGCCTGCCTTACCTGTAATTAAACCCCGTATTCCCCGATACCCTGACATCTGTGCCTTTGTCTCCGTTCCGTCCCCGCTGGGCATGACAATATTATTATAATTAAATGTATTAATGGTTTATTATTAATATTGAAATAATTCATAAGTATTCTTTAAAATGTATTTTATTATATAATAATTACTGTTACTGTCTATCATTGTCTAAATGTATTTTTACCCTTTGTTTCCGCTGAGAGACGTGCAGCGTGACTCATTTCTCTGCTCGTACAAGTTATCTTAGGTCGGCGTTCACGGTTTAACTTCTGAGATTCAGATCGATTTCTAGGTAATTTTTTTTCGAACCGGTTCGTTCGACTTTTAAGAAATTTGAGTTGTAATGAGTTCGAGAACTGAGGTACCACTGTATTTGTTATTACTTTATAGGAAAACAATATTGAGATATATATCGTATATCGCGGTTTAGCTAAAAATATTGAGATATGATTTTTGGTCCAAAAATAATTTTTATTGTATTTTTTTGTATGTACTTATTTTGCAGTCATGGTAAAACTTACCGCATATCGCCTGTCAATAACACAGCTGGTGACATCCTCCCAATCTGACTTCTTCTTGCTGGCATCCCTCTTATCAATGATATAGTTCGTCATGTCACTGCTTCCATTATCTTCTGGTGCATCCCAGGTGAGATAGCAGGATTCAGCTTTGATATCAGATACTACAATGTTTCGTGGTGGCAAGGGGCAGTCTATAAAAGAACAGTAAAACAGAAGTTATATTGCCTTTTGAGTAAACTGTAAAATGAATACTACCTTCTGGAAAGTCTTACCGTATATGATAACCCTTATGTTCTGAATAGCCGTGCCATGGGAGTTGGAGGCAGAAAGAGTGTAGAAGCCTTTATCCATTCTTCCTGTTGCTGGCATGCTTAACTTAGTTGTAACTTTCATCCGTTGCACCTCCTCTGTTTTGATCAAAACGATTTCACTTGGTTGCTCAATGACCACCCCATCTTTGAGCCATTCAATCTTGGGCAATGGGAGACCAGTCACCTCCGCAGAAATTTCAGTGGGATCGCCATTCTTCACAATAAGGGTATTTCCCTTGATCTGTTTCAGCAGTGTCACTAATGGACCAACTGTAACAAAAAGTAACATTTTATATCACAAGCTAAGTATATTTGAAGTTTTACTGCTCAAAATCAATGTGGTACAAACCTTCATCATCTTGAATCGTGGTAGTGAGTTCTTGTGAGGGTTCACCATTCCCAACCTCATTAACTGCCTTTACACGGAAGTCATATGTTTCATATTCTTTGAGGTTTTCTATTGTTAAAACAGTGTCCCTGCACATCTGATGGTTTGCAATCTCAAACTCTCCTCCATCTTGTCTTCTTTTCTCAACATAGTATCCATGAATAGGACTTCCCCCATCACTACGAGGTGGATTCCAGGATAAAGTAACTGATGACTTGGTCCTTTCAGTGTAATGGAATCTGTCAGGGGCAGATGGGGTACCTTTTATATAAAAGAGAAAAAAAAAACATTAATTTTATGTTTTATTTCCAGTTGTAATTCAAATACAAAACATAGAAAATATTACCTATTGGATCCACAGCAAGAATAGGACCCAGATCACATGGGGGTCCATTGCCATACTTGTTCTTTGCCACAACTCGGAACATGTACTCCTCTCCTTCAAGCAGCCCAACAATCTCACATTTACTTGTAGAAGTTTCAAGAGGCTGTCTAAATATATGCATTTTTGCATCTTTCCTTTCAACAACATAGCCAATGATATCACTTCCACCATTGTCAATAGGATCGGCCCAGCTCATTAAAATCATCCTTTTGGTTACAACCACAGGCTTCAGATCCAGCACAGGCCCTGGGACATCTGGTAGGAAGAAAAAATTCTCCTTTAAAAAAAGCCAAAATAAAAGATAAACATGTGACAGAGAACACTACCATTTACGCACCCATGACATCCACTCTTGTTTCTGCAGTAGTGGTTCCACTTGCGTTTGTGCCAGTAACCTTGTACTTGCCATAATCTGTCCTCAAGGCATCCTTGATCATAAGTACGCTGGTCTTTCCTTCGGTTTCTATGACAACACGCTCTTTGTCCAGCTCCCCATCCTCTTTTACCCACTGCACCTCAGGGGTTGGCCGGCCCGTAATGTGAGCAATCAGCCTTAGTGATTCCCCAGCCCGGATAATGACACTGTTTTTCACAGTCAAGTCAAAATCAACATTTGGAGTCTCTGTTGAAGTGAATGAATAACCACAAATATCAAATGTACTTTCAGCAAGTCTAGCAATTAATTCTATACTTCTGACTCTAAGCAAGTCAAAAATTTACTTACAAATTTAATTCTGTGGAAGACAAGAATAACTCAAAAAAACACAAAGAAGTATATTGATGAACTTTACCAGTGCCAATCATATAGGACTAATTTCTCTTGCACTAGAAAAAAACATTACCAAACCCTGATGGAAGGAACCATAAAGGTTGAAACTGTAAGCTTTAAAGGTTGCTGCCAACTGTCTACCAAAATAAGATAAGACGAACTTGAAAGTGGTGGTCTTACACCACTTTAAAATGGATTACCTTGAGGTTCTTTTACTGTGACAGTATCAGTCAGGCCAGGAACTCCTTCACCGGCATCATTGACAGCCATGACACGCACAATGTAATCAGCTCCCTCTGTGAGCCCTGTTAGAGTAAACTTGCGGTCTTTGCAGAGCCTTTCTGTTGATCGGGACCAGACTTTTTCTCCTACCACAGTTTTCTCAACATGATACCCAAGAATGTCTCCACCACCATTGAACAAGGGAGGGTCCCATCGCACATCAATGGTAGAGTTAGTTGTGTCAACAATACTTGGAACAGGTGGACCAGGTTGTACTATGGATACAGAAATGACAATTAACATTTCTGCACACAAAAAATGGTTAATTATGATTTTCTTTCTTGTTAGAACCACATCTGACTTACAGATAGGGTCTTGTGCAATACTGGGGTCTGTAGGGACACTGAAGTTTCCAGAACCAGCTAAGTTCTCAGCACAGACTCGGAATACATAGGTCAAGCCTTCCATGAGACCTTCAGCCCTGACTTCCAAAGAATTAAGCAGGCTGCGGTTCACCCTGGTCCAGTTTTTGCTGCTAATTTCTTTTCTCTCTATCCAGTATCCCAGGATGGGACTACCATTATCTTTAGGCTCATGCCAAGTGACTAACATGCTGTTAGCAGTAACATCCACAGTTTTTGGCATGTTGGGGGCCTCAGGTGGTTCTATGAAAGAAAAATGCAGGTCATCATTGGTATTTAAAACAAAGCAATTATCAGTCTCTAAAGCCTAATGTCTTACAATTCCTTACCAAACTCATTTTTAGCCAAAAGTTTTGTCGAGTAACAAGGAGGTCCAGGACCAAATTTATTTTCCCCAGTGACTCGGAAGATGTACTCCTTCCCTTCAATGAGATTAGTCACGGGAACAGTGCAGCCCTTCACAGCTGAGGATATGTTGACCCATCCAGTGTCATCCTTTGTGGCGTCTTTTTTCTCCACGATGTAGTTAAGGATTTCACTGCCACCGTTATCCACAGGTGGATCCCACTTACAAACAACAGAAGTGTTTCTGATATCTTCAAAGGCAAAATTCACTGGTTTTCCAGGTTTATCTGTAAATGAAAATAGGTTACACTTTAATGGCAACGTGGTTAAATTTTTTCTTGTACTGTATATGCCACAGAAAATGTTAAAAACGGATGCTATAAATATAATAATAATTATTATCCATCCATTGTCCAACCTGCTTATCCTACTGGGTCGCGGGGGGTCTGGAGCCTATCCTGGAAACAATGGGCACGAGGCAGGGAACAACCCCGGAGGGGGACCAGCCCATCACACACCATTCACTCACACATGCACACCTAAGGGCAATTTAGCAACCCCAATTAGCCTCAGCATGTCTTTGGACTGTGGGGGGAAACCGGAGTACCCGGAGGAAAACACACGATGATACGGGGAGAACATGCAAACTCCACACACATGTGACCCAAGCGGAGACTTGAACCCAGGTCCCAGAGGTGTGAGGCAACAGTGCTAACCACTGCACCACCATGCCGCCCCCAATTATTATTATTAATAATGATAATATAAATATAATAGCAGCGATAAACAATGTTCCAATTCAAGTAAAAATGAAGCAGAAAAACCTTACCAAGCACATTGACGTCACAGGACGCAGTTGCAGAGCCATGGGCATTCTCGACCTTAATGACGAACTTTCCATGGTCTTTCCTTATGGAGTCACGTATCATTATACTGGTTTCACCCCTCTGGCTGAGGTCAAAGGAAAGGCGCTCCTCAATGGATGGATGGTAGGGTTCCTCTGGCTCAAGAGGAGCACCTTTCACCTTCCTTCTTATAACTGGCTTATCTGGCTTCCTCCTTCCAGTCTCTGGTTTGAGCACCTCGTCATTCCTGAACCACGATACCATTGGGTACGGGGACCCAGAGATGCGAGCATCTATCTTGATCTCATCACCAGATTTGACACTCAGGCCATACAGCATGCTTCCTTTGAGGGAGACCTTGGGTGGATCTGTAATCAAATCAAAGTGCTTTTATATTATCAGAGAATGTACCCATTCAAGACATATGGGTAACACTTTTCTTAAAGCAGTCATATAAATGCATTATAGGTAATGTACCTTCATAATGCATTATGATGCACTCATTTACTAATTCTATTAGTAATACAGCTATAAATATTTATAAAAAGGCATGTATTACAGCTATGTTTATTATTATGAATTATGAATGCTCTATGAAGCTGTCATCTATAATACACTATATATATATATATATATATATATATATATATATACACACATATGCCTTCATAATGCTTATAATGGTCAATAAAAGTATAAGGATGCTTTGTACAGCTGTCTTTATAATATTTTATGAATGCATTATTAATAATGATTTCTTTAAGTTGAGTGTTACTGACTAATCTTCTGTCCCACCTGAATATCTGCAAAAGAGACAAGAAATATATAATGCACCCCCAGCTGTCAGTTTTGCCCATGCATTCTTGATAGGTGCTTTAACCCTTAGAACCCGACAAACACAAAATGCATTGATTTTCACACCCATTAATCTCAGGCTCGTAACTTTGGATAGATTTAACGCATAGAATCGAGAGAACTTATTCAATCCTCGTTGCAACGTTGTGTGCTAAAGTATTCCAGAGTCATCTTGTGTGGAATGAGGCATATATTTTAAACATTTTCCACAAAAAAGCACTCCTAATAATAATAATAATAATAATAGTAATATTTATTCACAAAAGTTTGTATATGTATGTTTGGTTGGTGTCGAGCTCTGGCAAAAGAGTTGAAATAGAACGCACTTATTGTGTAAGTGGAACACCTCCCACTTGTAAACACAATGACTTGCTACAGCCATAGCATATATAGGTGGAAAAACGATAGTGATAAACATTCAGCATTTGACTCTAAAACTGTCTGTTATGTCTGTGTTTATCCAGCGGATCATAAACTAAGCAGTGCTAAACCACGCATTGCTGTTCATCAGATAACTTCAACAAGTTATCAAATGGATACAAAGTCAAAGATATTCATTTCTGCCTGGCACTAACCATGTATCCCTTCACAATACTAAGTCATAGAAAGGTCCCCAATGAAACCTCTGCATTCCCATATCATAGGTACTCTAATCTCAACATTTATAATACATATGGTACCTTGGTTTGCGAGCATAATTTGTTCCAGAAATGTGCTGTTGTGCCGCACGTGGGACGCGGAGCTGAGACTGAGTAGCGGCAGTCAGGAAATCGGGGAACACGGGGTTTAATAAAAAGGGCAGGCAAGAAAACACGCAGTGACATGACAATGACCGGACTGGGGGAAACAAACTGAAACACGGACTAAATACAGAGGACTAATGACAGCAACCAGAAACAGCTCATCACACAGGGATCCCACACAAGGTTAACGAGGGGACATTGTACATGTAAGGAGCGGACGATCGGGGCAGGACACGTGCTTGTAATCCAAAGAACTCGTATATCAAAGCGAATTTTCCCATAAGAAATAATCGAAACTCAGATGATTCATTCCACCACCCAAAAATGTTCATATAAGAACATAAGAACTATACAAACGAGAGGAGGCCATTCGGCCCATCGAGCTCGCTTGGGGAAAACTTAAGTAATAGCTCAGAGTTGCTAAAATCTTATCTAGCTCTGATTTAAAGGAACCCAATGATTCAGTTTGCACTATGTTATCAGGAAGACTATTCCATACTCTGACTACACGCTGTGTAAAGAAGTGCTTCCTTAAATCCAGTTTGAAATGTTCT